TTGGGAGATTTATGAAAAAGGTTGTGTGGTACTTTTAGGTGGTGAAGTTCGTGTTGGACCCGGGAGTTGAGCTTTCTTATTTCCGATGACAGTTGCGAGGTGAGTTATCCTCACTATACTAAGGGGTCTAAGGCACCAAGGCCGACCCATTGGATTTGATATCCTAGTAGTTATTGTTATGTAGAGTTTGAGTTAGTAATGCATGCCAGTTGATGTGCTAGTCGGGTAGATCTGTAGGACTGCCTGTGATACTGATTGATTACCTTTGTGCGCATTTATCTGTTACATGTTGACATGTAATGTGGGGTGGGTTGAGTTTGTACTGCTCCGTGTGGTAGCCAACAAACCCGAGAGCATTCCAGATACGAGCTGAGGGCCCGGTAGGCATTCCAGACTCGTACTGAGGGCTCGATGGCATTCCAGATACGAGCTAAGGGCCCGGTAGGCATTCCAGACTCGTACTGAGGGCCCAGGGGTAGTCTAGCTTGTAAAGTTGTGGACCCAGTGCACGCTATTATGTTTTGATTGATATGATATGCTAATGTTGATATTGCTATGTGAACTGTATGTGTATTGGTATTTTGGGGGTAACTCACTAAGCTCTCGGGCTTACAGTTTCAGTTTATTGTTTCAGGTACCTCTGGGGATCCCGGCAAAGCTAAGGCTTGATCGTACAGCTCCTCCTATTGTGTTATGTTTTGGGAAAACTCTGATATAAATATATTTTGAAAACAAAGTTGTAATGTTTTGATGAATTTGTCGTGTTTTTAAAAAAAAAAATTAAATTTGGGTTAAATATTGAGCGTCACAATTTTTGAAAATTCACAATGTGAATCCGGATTCACATGGTGGATCCGAAAAATAATTTTCACATTCAAAATGTTAATATATGAATTTAGATATTTTTAGATTTTTTTTCGATAAAGAATAAGCTCTAGAAACTGAAAAAAAGATTTGGTTCCTTAAAGAACCAATAATTATGGTTCTCTATTGTACTTTTCCCTATATATATATATATATATATATATATATATATATATATATATATATATATATAGGTTCAAATGTTTTTGACAACTATTGTGTGCCTGTGTGCACCAATAGGAATTTAGGAATAATTAAATAATTAAAAATTGTAATAAGGGTAATTATGTAACTTTAGCATGCTAATTAAAATAAAATCCCTTAATTCATGGAAATTGCCATAAAAATCTGTTTGACCAACTATTTAACCCTAGCCTTCTATATCATACGTAATATGCCTCCTCCAATTTTCTTATGGACGAATGAACATCGTCTGATCAAAAGAGGTAGTCAAACCTCTTGCTGGAAATCTGTTTCCCCATTCCATTGATTAAGAAGATGTTATTCTCGGTGGCTCCATCTCCAATCGAAGCTAGCTTCAACATCAAGGCAATTTGGGAGTCACAAGAAGCCGGTGTATGTTTCTGCATCATTGTTACAGCTCCTTCGATGATCGGTTCTTTAGAGCTTTTCCAAATCGAGCAAACTTCATATGCCCTTATTTATCCGGTAACAACTCTTCAATTCTCATTAATTATGGATCGTTAACTTGTGATTCAAATTATCTATTTCTATTGTTTGCTGAATTGGATGGTTAAGTAAGGGAAAAGATAACGTGTTCAAGAAGAACGAGCTATGCATATAAGGTGCTCGACTAAATTCCTGAAAGAAGGACCAAATTGATGTCTTAGTGAACTGTTGGTGGAATTGAAAATATTCTGATTTGCACACCAACTGTTTGTTAAAATGTCTCAGTGAACTTCAGTTACTTATTCCAAAATTTGTTCTTTCTTGCTTAATGAGTCACTTTCAGTTAGAAGGAAGCATAGAAAAAGATGTTAGTTCGTATGGTTCCAGCTCTTGCATCAAGACCTTATAGTGTAAGTAACATTCTTTATTCATGTGTTCAAGTTGATGAGTTTCAATTTCTTTTATGTGGATGCTCTTCTTTCTTACAAAATAATTTTTTCAAATCTTATATGAAAACCACGTTTCTATGCTTTAATGGGTCTGCCATATATTTTGTTTTTCTTTCGGTTATGGAATACAATTCTAGGTTGTTTGTGCCTTTTTATTTTTCATCAACACAAATTAATTTACTCTTTGAACCTTGTGGTATGCATTCTAAATCATGTTGCTGGAAATTATGTTTATATGTAAACTATTGCATGTAAATCAAATATGGTTTTTGGCTTGTTTGATGATAATATCTAACAAGTGTTTGTTGAAATGCCTGAAAGAGTATTTAAAGAATTTAACCTTGTGGTATGCATTCTATCAGAATTACTAGCTGTAAATACAATACCTTTGAATGTATCCTATATATTCTATCAGAATTTATTCTATCAGAATAAAATCGATATATTCTGCCATAATGTATTATATGTATTATATCATATTCTATGTATTCTACCAGAATATATTAAGTGATAGATAATTGTAAGTAACATGTTTTTAACAAGTATTAGTTTTTGTTGTATTTGTGATAGGAATGGCTGGAAGAAGGCGTTGAAGACCTTGATATTTTTTTAGAATATGTATAATTATATTGAAAATGTAAGAATATGTATGAATTTGTATTAAATTTGGATGTATAAGAATATATTAGAATTGATTCAAAAATTTTGTTTTTCTTCAATAATATTCTATTAGAATAAAATTCTGAAAGAGCATCATTCTAACAAATAATATTCTGACAGAATAAAATCGGTAAAAAATTGAAATTGAATTAATTAAAAAATTCAGATTTTTTTTTTAAATTAGGAGAATTAATCATCCCTAAAAATCCGAAAATTTCCTTTTATAAATGTAGTTAATTGTCCAAAATACCCTTTTACTTAAAATTATGTGATTATATGCTACATGTTACCCCATTGTAATATCATACACCCTCAAATCATATCCATTGATTAATTTCATCCATTGGTCCAGATTTGTGCATTGTGGCACACAATACTTAGTAAAAACAAAATAACCTAAGCCTATATATATATATATATATATATATATATATATATATATATATATATATATATATATATATATATATAAGGAAAAGTGAATATACCCTTAAGTGTATATAAGCTTAGGTACCCAAAGTCACTATACTACATCGTTTTGTATCATTTATATACATTTTAATTGTCCAATGTTTTTATAATTCAACTTCTAACTTGATCGTACAGCTCCTCCTATTGTGTTATGTTTTGGGAAAACTCTGATATAAATATATTTTGAAAACAAAGTTGTAATGTTTTGATAAATTTGTCGTGTTTTAAAAAAAAAATTAAATTTGGCTTAAATATTGAGCGTCACAATTTTTGAAAATTCACAATGTGAATCCGGATTCACATGGTGGATCCGAAAAATAATTTTCACATTCACAATGTTAATATATGGATTTAGATATTTTTTAGATTTTTTTTTCGATAAAGAATAAACTCTAGAAACTGAAAAAAAAGATTTGGTTCCTTAAAGAACCAATAATTATGGTTCTCTATTGTACATATATATATATATATATATATATATATATATATATATATATATATATATATATATATATATATATATATATATATATATATATATATATATATATATATATATAGGGAAAAGTGAATATACCCTTAAGTGTATATAAGCTTAGGTACCCAAAGTCACTATACTACATCGTTTTGTATCATTTATATACATTTTAATTGTCCAATGTTTTTATAATTCAACTTCTAACTTGATTTACTTCCAAGATGTTTATCAATTTCATATTTATATTCTTATTATATAATTTCATTTTCAACTATAATATATATAGCCGAGTAGGTGTTCGGAAAAAAGATGTGATGTAAGAGAGAGATAATAATGAAATTTCGAAAATTTTGAAAGTAAATCAAGTCAAGGATTGAAGCTTAAGAACATTATAATGAATATATTAAACAAAATGACGTATTATAATGGATTTGGGTATCTAAGCTTATAAACCCTTGAGGTATATTCACTTTTCCCATATATATATATATATATATATATATATATATATATATATATATATATATATATATATATATATATATATATATATAGTTTTAATGTATTTTTTATTTAATGAAGTATTTGAATTATGCTAAATTTTATATTAAATTTGTTTTATTAGTTGTATTAAAAAATAATAAAAAGGGATAAAATGTGAAAAGAGGTATAAAATTTTGACCACTTCATGACCTACAAATGTTGAAAGTCCAAAGAGATATACCACCTAGGAAACGTACGAGAAGGCTTCCATAATTCCATTTTTAAGATGTCCAGTAGACTTTTGAGGTTATGGCATATCGTTCAAGCTATTTGCAATCCCACTTGTTCCACATGTCACATGGCATCTTTCAACGTGTTTGCAAGACCACTAGCTTGTATAGTATCTATATACCATGTCCATTTATTATTATTATTATTATCTTTTAAGTTTTGAAAGCCTTGAAAAATGTGTAGTCGACATGTATCGGTAGTTAATTACTTTATTTATTCAAATGCTTACGTGTATCGGTAGTTAATTGCTTTATTTATTCAAATGTTTTATATGATATTTTTTTGCAAGTTTTTAATGGGTGCTCTTAGTGGCTAAATTTCTTTGCAAACAATCTTTTATTCTAAAAACTTTGAACGAATTCCTACTTAACATGATTAATTTAGATTTTAAATTTATTTAAATCTGAAATTTAACATACATAAGTAGTTTAAAACATTCCGAAATCGCTTCAAAACATATTTGTAAATGAATAGTCAAAAAAGTCATAGTATTATCCGGTAAATGATAAAAACATTATTTTGAGTTGGGAAGAAGAAAAAATTCTGCTTACTGACAAGGACTCGACTTAAGTTGGTCGTTACAATATTACGCTGTGTATGCATTTATATATAATCTAAATTTAAATTAATGGTATTCTGAAACGAAGCAACACAGACGGAGGAGGATTTGTGCGATGGCATCACGATTGTGGTTGTGCTTCTGCTTGATGATCACCGCCGCCTTAACTCGAGCTCAAAACACCACCGATCCAGCTGAAGGTACTGCTCTCTCTCTCTCTCTCTCTCTCTCTCTCTCTCTCTCTCTCGCTCGCTCTCTCTCTCTCTCTCTCCGTGTTGAAGAGAGAGAACGTCGTCCTCTCATTATTCAGATTTCCATTTGAGTTTCATGTTCATTGAGTGACCAAATAAGATGCTCTAACACATCCAGCTTTTATCAAAATCTGCGAATGAAAAAATGGTTATTTTTCGTATTATCTTTTCGAACCATATGCAATATATAAAGGGAGTGGCTCGGATTCGACTTAACTTACTCAAATTGACCATTATTGAGCTCTTAAGCTGTACTTATTTCGATTATGGTACTTTAACGTCACTAGTAACAATGATTATGATCTCGGTGATGAATGAAACTGAAGAAAATTATATTGGTGATGCAGCGCGAGTTATAAATGCAATGTTCAGTCAATGGGGGATACCAGAAAGTTCAGCAACAGAGATGGGATGGAACATAAGCGGAGAATTATGCAGCGGCGCCGCCCTGAACTCTACGGCCTTCAATTCCCGGGCTTACAATACCGCCATCAGATGCGACTGTAATTTCACCGATTCCACTTGCCATATCACTGGACTGTGAGTCATGTTCTTTCCCCTTCCGTTATAGAAATCATCTTTTGGTCGTTTCCATTGTTACTCATTAATTTGCATTCTATTTTATCTTCTAACAATCATTATCTCCCTGCAAATCATCAGAAGAGTTGGTGGACTTGATGTTGTGGGGCCAATCCCAGAAGGACTCTGGACTTTGACTTACTTAACCCATCTGTACGTATGTTTGCAGCTATTTCTTCACTAAAGAAAGTTAATTAAAACCTAATTAAAAATATACTTACATCCGTGTTATGGATATCTATGCTTGTAATGATCATGCTAAATAATTAACTGCATGTTTGCTACAGTAACTTGTCCAAGAACTGCTTGACAGGTCCCTTGTCACCTTCCATTGGCAATTTAACCCGTATGCAGGTCATGTAAGTCATCCCTTTGTGCTACTTTAAGCTCAAATAATGATTTTGACATCTATAACGATGAATCTTAACTTAATTTTTTTTATAGGATTTTCCGCATTAATGCATTATCAGGGCAGGTTCCACGAGAGATAGGACAACTTACTGACCTTAGATATCTGTATAGTGTGTTTTATACTTTCTTTGTCTTTCTTCTTCCATCAAACAACAACTTTAGTTTAATTTTTTTTGTTGATTACATTCGTGTTTTCTATATTCTTTTATGTTGCAGGGCATTTGGCACAAACAATTTCAGTGGTTCCCTGCCATCTGAACTTGGAAATTTGAGAAATTTACAGTGGCTGTAAGAACACTCATCTTGGTTACTATCGTACCCACTATTACCTTTTGTTATATATGCATTGATTAAATCATCTAATATCATCTTTTTGTATCTATTTATATATGTTGTCTATTATCTTGCCCTCATGTACGTATTTTTTCCAATGTTGAATGCAAATCTTATTATGGGAAAATATCGATTACCTTCAGTTACATGGATAGTGCTGGAGTTGGTGGTCCTATACCTTCTACGTTTGCTAATTTACAGAACCTGGTGATAGTGTAAGAGCATTTAATTATCTTTAATGATGTTTCAAAGTTGCATTTTATCCATCATATAAGAATCGTGATAATTTCTTTTTTATAACGAATTCACAGATGGGCTTCTGATAATCCATTCACTGGAAGAATACCAGACTTTATAGGGAATTGGTCTCAGTTAGAAGCCTTGTAAGCAAGCATCCAAATTATTTACATGCTTTTCTTCATTATGAACTTTTAAAATATAAGTTACATGCTTAATATTCTCATAGGTGGTTAGAGGGGAACTCTTTTAAAGGTTCAATACCACCTTCATTTTCTAGACTGACCTCTTTGCAGAGATTGTAAGCCTTTATTCTCCTAATAATTTATACTTATACATTGCAAGTTGTTATTTTGATCTTTTAATCTGCATTCAATGAAATCAAACTGCTCGGGATCTATAATGTTACAGGGGAATAAGTGGTTTATCTAATGGAACTCTGGATTTTATTAGTGGTTTGACATCCCTGACTGAATTGTAAGCAAACACATTGATATTATATTAATTTATTGTTTTATCAAGTATTTGAATATAAGTTATAACAGATGTCATCTCTTGCAGAAAGTTGAGGAATAACAGAATTTCTGGCTCCATTCCGAATGACATAGGAGAACTTGCAAGCTTGACACAACTGTGAGTAATCTGGATTTTCATTGAAGTATTTGAATACATAGATTAACCTATAATTATAAGTCAAGCATGGATATTAAGTATTATATAACTACTATTAAAGAAAAGCTCCCTAATGTTATTTTCTCAGGGATTTGAGTTTCAACAATTTGAGTGGGGAGATTCCAAGAGGATTATTCAGCTTGAGACGAATGTCTTTATTGTAATATCCATATTCTCCTTTTATGATAAATAATAGTATTTTGCATGCAATTTGGTCAATAAATTTCAATGTTGACCAAATATACATGTCAGGTTTCTTGGAAACAATAGTTTAACCGGTACTCTTCCCGATGTAAAGAGCACAACTCTCCGGATTATGTAAGTAGTTATATATAGGCTAGTTAACTAAGAGAAATTGTGTCTTTTAATAATGTCCATACAATTTTCTTCATGCAGTGATGTGTCACACAATGGATTATCTGGGACACTTCCTTCTTGGGTCGATGACTCAGACTTACAACTGTACGTGCATGCTTCATTTTGGATATTGCTTCTAAATTCTCATTTGTACCTTGTATTTGAAATTTGTTCTCTATCAAAAATTACCAAAAATACTTAAGTTTTCTAGAATAGCTTTTGGAGCTAATACCATATTTCCAACATGTGTGCAGTAACATAGTCGTGAATAACTTCCCTGTAGACAGTTTTGAAAGCAGGTAATTATATTGAAGCCGCAACCGCAACTTACTTCTATATTTCTTTCTACACTAATTATCACAAAAATGACAAAAAATGGGAGGGATGTATCACAAATGACTAACTTTTTATCATTTATTACAAAATCGCCCCCTGATTTCAGAAAAAAAAAAACATCACGATATTGCTTTTTCAGCCCACCACAATATTTCATGATTTTTTTTCCCAAGGATTACATTTTTTACGCTGGGATATTCCTTTTCAATGTTTTTTCGGAAAAAAAGTACGATAAAAAAGGTTCACGAAATTGGCTAATATAAATATTTCTTTCAATGTAAACAAAATTAAGTTGAGCAAAATATGTGAAAAGGCGATCTGGCTCAAACCAGCATGCTTCGTTGAGAAGCCAAACATCTTAACCAATTTTGTTGCATATAATTTTGTTTGCATTTCAAGAAATACTTAAGTTGCCTAATTTCCATGAAAATAAAGTTTCTCAAAAATGGCATTTTTTGCGGAATAGAATAAAAATTCGCTAAATATGGTGTCAAAAAAAGTAATTTCTCTAATTTTCGAACTTCGATAGCAAAATAGGTGTGAAAAAGAAATTTCTCATATAAAGGAACCTTTTTATTCGAAATATGTGATTATTTTGTGATAAATTTTTAAAATGTGGTCATGTTGTGATACAAACATTCCCATTTTTGTGATGAACTCATTTATTTATCTGTTTATTTCTAATTATAATGCAATGTTTTTTTTGTCCAAGAGGTTTGCCTTCAGGAGTGATTTGTCTCCAAAGAGATTTCTCTTGTAATCGTGGATCACCGATATGTAAGTAAAAAACATGAAGATTCTTTTTTTACTACGTGGTAAATTCTATAAAAACAGTATATTTTAGATTTTTTTTCCTGTCTTTTTAACTAGCTAAAGATAATATTTAAATGTAACCACTAAAGTTTTTTTTTTTTTTTTTTTTTTTTTTTTTTTTTTTTGGGGGGGGCGGATTTTTTGAAAAATCCCTATATTATGGGTTAATTAACTGAAAAAGACAAAAATCCCTACATTTTATAATTTTTTTCCCTATTTAACCAGCTAAAGAAAATGTTTTTACATATTTTGGATTTTAGCTGACATTCTTTATAAAACTACCTATCTTTTGGGATCGTTATGATAAAATCATGTCTTTTTGACAAAAGATATTATCTTACTGCATTCTCTTTGTCAGACAGTGTGTCCTGTTTTGTCTTAATTACTATAACTTGTGAGACAGAAAGAATAAATTAAGATTGGAGTACTATAATATTATGCATAAAGAATATAGTTTCATAATATTCTTTGTTAGTCAGAAAATAGAGAAAATGCAGTAAGATAATAGTTTGTGTCATTGTCTGTTAAAAATCATGGCTTTATCATTAATGGTCCTTGAATATATAGAGAATTTTCTAAAGATTACCAAGTAAAATAAAAATATATAAACGATTGTCGGTTTCTTGTTCTTTTCTATAAAAATATAAATTCCTGGCTTTATCATTTGGAAAAAGTTTTCAACCATCAATTGATGTGCCTTGGTTATTACCTCATTAGTTGTTTCATTGCCCCAAGCACAAAGATAGTATTTTCTAAAGATTTCCCTTTTTCAGAAAGAAAAAAAAAAAAAAACAAAAAAAAACACCTTAACCAGGTATAAGGGATTAAGGGTTTCTCGGAAACCATAAAATTTTGAATTCTATAAAAACCACTATAGTTTGAAATTTTTTTTATTTAACCCGAAGAACTCTTTCGGTTCAATCACTAGAGTAATTATTTTTATAAATTAACCACAAAAAAGTTGAAAATTTTTATTTAAAAAATGCAACCTTAACCGGGTATGATAACTAATATAAAAATGCACTATCGGTGAATCACTCATTCTTTCTTTCCAATATCTGATTTGCATTTGAGCGTGTTTTCCTAATTGAATCCTCATCATTTTGAAATTATGTGCTCCACAACCCTAGATTTTGAATGGATACTTCATCAAATATTCAGTTTTTTGATATTTGATTATAGTTTTAAATGGACACTTCATTATATACTCAAATTTTATTTTAAATTTAGTTGTGTATTAAATTTGTTCATCCAAAATGTTACAATACTTTTATGTACGATTAGATTTTAATTGTATGTGTTACTAAAAGGATATTTAATGTTATATTAATAATCAAATATCCTTTTAGTAACATTAAACACCATCAATTAATATAAGGGTATTCACAATGCATTGAGCTTCATAGAGTTCAATGGATTTCCACATTATCTTTCTACAATCCATATACCTTTATAATTTTTTCCTACAATGCATTGAACTCTACAAAGTTCAATAAAATGTAATTTATAGTAAATATTTAAGATTTAAAAACTTTCATTTTTCCTATTGAAGAGTTTAATGGTCATTGAACTCCAAATCTTTTGAATGTCAATGTGGCATCTTACAATGGTAGAATTTCATCCATTAAATGACACATAAACTTGTCACCTCATTCAACTCTTCTTTGAATTCACCATTGTGGATGTTCTAAGTGGAAAAACTTCTTAGTTAAAGTTGTTTTAGAAAAAAAACAAATAGAAGTTTTGGTGGTAAAATTATTAAAAATATTTTTCGGGTATTTAAACATATATATATTTTCATGTGGTTAAACCAAAAAATTTAATATCATAGTGACTGTTATATATATATATATATATATATATATATATATATATATATATATATATATATATATATATATATATATATATATATATATATATATATATATATAAGTCATGTGGTTAGATAAAGAAAAATATTTTTGAAAAAATTTCAAAGTGCACTAATTAATAATGGTTTTCATGTAATATGGGGTTTATTATAACATCTCAAATTTGGCATCTTTTCACGATTTTTTTTTTTTCAGATGGTAGCATTGGAATCAACTGTGGTGGTCCACAAGTTAGATCCTCTGGAGGAATAGTCCACGAGCAAGACGATGCACTTGTTGGACCAGCAACATATTCTTTGACTACCGATAGGAGGTGGGGTGTCAGCAATGTGGGACTAAGCGAGTACCCCAGATACAGAAGCTTCACTAATCGCGACTTCACAAACACTTCAGATCCACAACTCTTCCAAACAGCAAGAATCTCTGCTGGATCTTTAAGATATTATGGTTTAGGCCTTGAAAATGGTAACTACACTGTAAACCTTCGCTTTGCAGAACTTGAGATACAAGATGGTCCCACTTGGAGAAGTCTTGGAAGACGTGTATTTGACATTTATATCCAGGTCTGTGTTAAAATACACATTCATAATTACAATATTGGTCCCTGTGGTATATTGTTTTACACTTTTACTGGGTTGTTGTTAAGTTGTTAGATTGAACGACATAGGGACTAAGTTTGCAACATCAGTTGAAATTTGACTGAACCAACTATCTCAACTAGCCCATTTCTGTAACTTACATTTTGGCCCCTGATTATAGCCGATATCTGCAATTTTGGTCCTAAAAAATTCTCTCTTGCAATTTTAGTCCTTGTTTAAGGTATTCATATTGTTATTGTTTTGGTTCCTGTAACAAGTAACATGATGACTCTATTTGTGGGACCAAGTTTTCAAAAATCAGTTCTACTTAGGGGCCAAAAGTAATTGGTTTAGTTGTAACATGGAGTAAAATGATATAAAAAACCTCAAATAAGGACCAAAGTTGCAAGAGAAAACTAATTGGAACCAAAAATTAAAAAAATCAACCGACCAAAAACATAACATCTTCAAATTAGAGTAATTTACATTTTTGGTCTCGGAGTACAACGGACTGTATGCTGTAACTTCTTTAACTTTGTTTCTGAAATTTTGTGTTTTTTAGGGAATTCGGGTGTTTGAAGATTTTGATATAAAAAGGGAAGCAGGGGGAGCTTCATTTAGTCCTGTTTCAAAGGAAGTAACAGTCCAGGTGTCAAATAACTACCTAGAGATAAATTTTTTATGGTCTGGAAAAGGGACTTGGGCTGTACCTAATGATGGAAGTTTTGGACCTCTTATCTCAGCAATCACTGCCACCCCAAGTAAATATTTTTTCATCAAAAAAAAAAAAATTTCTCTTCATTTTCATGACAAAATGACACGACCGCCCTTTACCTTTTTTTTTTTTTTTTTTTTCCTACAGATTTCGTCAACCCTAGCGCGAGCAACAATCAGAATGCTGGTTTGATTGTGGGGATTTTGGTTCCAATTTCAGTTGTGAGCTTTTTGATATTATTAGCTTTGTATATTCTTCGTCAGCGCAGGAAAAGGAGGGATACATATGGAAATCATGATGAAGGTGGTTTTTCTGGATCTTTCTTTATGACGGAGGAAAAATGTATTCCATTTTGATTTTTTTTTATTTTTTTATTTTTTTTTACACTTGCTTATTTGAAGAGTTTCTGGGAATTGACCCCAAGCCATGTACTTTTGGTTATGGAGAATTGAGAGATGCAACAGATGATTTTAGTCCTGCAAATAAACTTGGCGAGGGTGGTTTTGGACCTGTTTACAAGGTAGTTTTTACTTCTTTTTTTTTTGTTTTTTTTATCAAGAATCCATTTTTTCTACTTAGGTAGCGTTTGGTATGCAGACTTCAAAGTAGGAATGGAGTGGAACATTAAGGGGGAATGAAAAAAAAATCATGTTTTGTTGTGAATAAAGAATGGAATGGAGCATTTCTCTGTGAATGTGATTCCTTCTCTTGGGTTGATTCCCATTCCATGGGGAAGAGAGCTTTTTTTTTTTTTTATTTCTTTAGGGAGTGGAATGATATATACTATAAATTTAAATTACTTTTATTCATATAATCTTCAATAATTATTGATCTTTTTAAAATTTTCGAACCTTCAATTAAATATATCTTATAGTTTTATAAAATAAATAAAACTATTTTAATTATAATTTTCATGTTATATAGTTCTTTTTATTTTGTAATTTTCTTTAAATTATATATAATTATTTTTTTTAACTAGTATAATATATATTTTGAATGGAATGAAATATGTTTATATGGAGTTTACATAACGATTTATCTTTATCTTTATTCAATGAAAATTTATTTTTATAAAATAACACTTTTTTCTTTATTTATCATTTTTACATTATTTCTTTTCTATTTAATAATAACAAACAAAATGTTTGAATGATTCATTCCATCGTACCAAACAGACCCTTAAAGTCGAACTGAATCTCTTTGATGACAAACACAAACAGGGAAAACTTGCTGATGGGAGACTAATAGCCGTTAAACAACTATCCATAGCCTCCCAACACGGTAAGCGTCAATTTGTGGCAGAGATTGCTACAGTATCTGCTGTCCAACACCGTAACCTCGTGAAACTCTACGGATGTTGCATCGATGGAGAAAAACGACTCCTTGTCTATGAGTATCATGAAAACAACAGTCTTGACCAAGCATTATTCGGTGAGAAATTACATATTTTGACATGATCAAAGTACAATGTTATAATGTTACGTTTCGGTTCTGTGATGCAGGAAGCAAAAGATTATCACTTAAATGGTCCACTCGTTTTGATATATGCTTGGGAATAGCAAGGGGTCTCGCGTATCTCCATGAGGAATCACGGATAAGGATTATACATCGAGATGTGAAATCTAGCAATGTTTTACTTGATTCTGAATTGACCCCAAAAATATCGGATTTCGGTCTGGCGAAACTTTATGATGACAAGAAAACACACATGAGTACTCGTGTTGCTGGCACAGTGTAAGATTGCTTTGTCGACATTTGAACTTGTTCTCATTTAAGTCTTTACTGATTCACTGTGTAGTGGGTATCTTGCACCAGAGTATGCACTGTGGGGACACCTTACGGAGAAGGCTGATGTGTTTGGGTTTGGAGTTGTGGCTCTAGAGATTATCAGTGGGAGGCCCAATTCTGATTCAAGTTTGGAAGATGAGAAAAAATATCTTCTTAATTGGGTATGTTTTATCTTCTTCTTGTTCTTGTTGTTCTTTTTCTTCTTCATAAATGAATTTATACTCTCGATCTACTCTTACCAAGCCAAAAGAAGGAATTACATAATAAACAACTAGTTAACGAGAAAATTGTATAGAAAGGTAATCTAACTTTGGTAATAATTGTTTTAAAGTATGGAACTTCTTTTGATAAACTTTTAAAAAAGTTATATCTATGTATCGAACTTCTAAAATTTTCTCAATTAAGGTAACCAACTTTTATGTATCATGTATGTATATATGTATGCATGTGTACATGTGCGTGTGTGTTTTTGTCTCTATCCCTATCTGCATCTGTCCTGTTGCTGCTGAATAAGAAAATTGAAGATGTTGAAAATTGATGACCGACCGATGATGCAAAATTTATAATTTTTATTGGCCTTTGTATAAACTTAGGCATGGAAGTTACATGAAGCTAATCGTGAAGTAGAGTTGGTGCATGAAGAATTGTCTGAATTTGATGAGACCGAAGTGAAAAGGATGATCAGAGTTGCTCTTTTATCCACTCAAACCTCAACACAACGACCATCAATGTCACGTGTCGTGGCAATGCTTTCAGGAGACATAGAAGTAACCGGTGTCATTACTCGACCTAAATACCTGACTAATTTCGAGTTTGACGATTCTACGACATGTATGAGTGCTAGTCCAATTACAATAGTTTCACCACATGATTCTTCCCTACCGATGCTTCACAATATCATGGGAGAAGGTATGTGACTTCGTCACTTGAATGACCTTCATGATCTATTTGTAAAGTCACTCGATTTTGACTAATTTACTTTATTTATTTGGAAAATGGTTGAACGCAAATGTAATTGTTATAATTGTTGATGGTATAAATTTAGAAGTGAGTTTTCCTTCATTGTATCCGTAAGTCGAAGGCAGCAATGTCGGCCGACTAGTTTATGATGTAATGTGATGATTGTCTTTGTGTCAATTTTCAGTTATGCATGTATTTCTTGATGACTCTAATATTCTTGTAACGATATTACGTGGTAGTAGTAAGGGTGAAATAGACTCAGTATCCGGCTAAGATAAACCGAATAGGATTGCAAGCACCCAGATATACTTAACAATATCCGGTTGAAATAGACCGAAGGGTAGGCAAGAACGCATATATGATTAGCTATATGTTTGTTTAGTATGTGGTATTTTGGGGGAACTCAATAAACTTTGTGCTTACAGTTTTCGGTTTATGTTTTAGGTACTTCCAGTTTGAAGGGGAAGGGTCCGGCCTGATCACATCGCATCACCCTATGGTTTTCCGTATTTAGAGATGTTGGGAATTTGTACTCTGATAACATGTTACTATGATACTCTTTTGAATATTTTGATATTAGTATCATATGATTTGACATGGAGTTTGAAAGTTAAGAACCCGTAAGGGCAGTCAGTTTATAAGGTAGGTGGTTGTGAGATCAACTTCACCCCAGAAGTGTTTGGGAACTTGAGTAGAAAACATGAGAGATCAACCAACTTTAAGGAGATGTATTTTTCTTTCAACAATTCCATTTTGCTCAGGGGTGTTTACACAGGATCTTAAGTGTAGGATACCGTGTTGAGTGAGATAAGGACTAAGAATAGAATTGAAGAATTCTTTGTTGTTATCCGTCTTAAGGATTTGAATCTTGGTGTGAAATTGAGTTTGAATCATAGAATTAAAGTTTTTGAAAATTTCACCCACTTCTGATTTAGAATTCATGAGATAAACCCAAGTTAACCTAGTGTGATCGTCGATAAAAGTTACAAACCTTTTTTTTCGATTATAGTATTAACTCGTGAGGGACCCCCACACGTTGCTATGAATTAATAAAATTGGTTTGGAAGGTGTATATGGTATACTATGATAAGTTTTTCGAGTATGTTTTGCGAGTTGGCAAATTTCACAGCAAAGAGAATCAGGACGTTTATTAATAAACAATGAGGGAAACATTTTTGACAAATAGCAAAAGTTCGAATGACCGAGACGATAGTGCCACCACATGATATCACTATTTTTATTGGAAACGAGACTGGTTATCTAAAGAGAACAAGCTAAATTTTTTAGATGTCCCGACAGAAAGAGCGTCATTTTGTAAGACATAGAGCTCATAACACGTCTTAGCACTGCCAATCATCTTCCTTAAACCCAAGTCCCGAAACACACAAATATCTAGGTAAAACGTATCCATATAATTGAGTGCACGTGCAAATTTACGAACATATCATATATTATTTTCCAATTTGGGTACATAAAGAATATATTTGAGGGTTATATTTGGGTTTACTTTGATTGAACCCACACCCGCTACTTTGGAGGATGTGCGATCTGCAATTTTTACTGTTTGATGTTCTGAAGTTGCATGAAACTCATAAATAATGCTTGAATTTCCTATCATATGATCTGATGCTCTAGAATCAAGAACCTAAGGGTTAATATTCTTTTTATTGACCATAAGGGCTAATGAATGGTTACCTTTAGTGGTCAACAACCCTATACTAAGAGTTGTTCTTGGTTGAATGGACCGACTTAGAATTTTTTGAAGTGCCTCCAATTGCTCTTTGGTGAAAGGAGGTGAATTAGATGTGTCCCCTTTTCCTTCTGCAACATTTGAAAGAGTAACAACCATATTTCCATGAGTTTCTTTTGTCTTTACATGATTTTGGTTTCTAATCAACAAGTTTTCCATGAAGTTTCCAACATGTTTCTCGATAATGTCCAGATTTACAACAATGTTTACACCAAGGTTGTCCTTTTTGTTGTCCTCGGGCAGCAAGAGTAGAAGAATATTGAGTTGATGGATTAAGGGAAGCACCAAGCATGGACTTTTTCTTGCTATCTTCTTATCGAACCTCTGAGAATGCTTCTTTGGCATGAGGAAGAGGCTTGATACTCATGATCCTACTCATGACTGCATCAAGTTCTTTATTGAGTACATGAAGAAACTTGAAAGTTCTCCTTTTCTTAACGATATTCTAGTATAGAGTAATGTTATTAGTACACTTCTAGGAATATGGTTCAAATAGATCTAACTTATGCTAATACCGAGTAAGAGTGTTAAATTATTGTGTGATAGAGGTGTCTTCTTGGTGGAGGTCATAAAGGGCGACTTTAATATCGAAAAATTCTGATGTATTCTTAGAATTGGAGTAGGATTCTTTGATAACATCCCAAAGCTCTTTTGCAGACACACACACACACACACACACACACACACATATATATATATATATATATATATATATATATATAAGAAAGTTTTCTCCTAAGTCATTATTTATAGAATTAATCAACCATGAAATAATCATGTGATTATCGGCCTTCCATGTTTTGTACTTTGGATCATCTGACTTTGGAGTCTCGATCTCTCCGATAAGATATTCCTCTTTTCCTTTTCCACCAATATACATCATCACAGATTCTGACCATTAAAGAAAGTTATGGCAATTAAACTTGTGACTGATAACAAGAGATACTGCTTCATTATCGTGAGAGGATGAACCAGATATGTTGAGGTTATTGAGGGTAGAAGGATGTGAAGAAGCATCTAATGTGAGACTGATTTTGTCATTAGCCATGAGATCTGTTGAAGAAAGTGAAGGCTAGAACAAAGATTACTAGAAGAGATGAAGGTGAAAAATAGGCTTCTAATACTAATACCGTGAAGCTTTTGGAATGAACTGATACTTTATTCACCAGAGGAAAAATGCCTATTTATAGACTAATTCCATAGGATATCCTAGTTGTACAATCAATGTTAATTACTATAAATTAATGATTCTACTTATAATTCAAGGATTTATAATAATTAAGATTATTCTTTAATTAATACTCATAAATCATTCTACAACTTCACCATCCTTGGTGCAAATGGATGGAAAAAAACTAGGGTTCACTATTTGGATAAAACAGAATTGTCTAATTAGACAATTTAGATTGAACTATTTGGTTCGGATATTTGGATTAGTTTTCAACAAACCAAATTATTATTTTACATTTCGTATTGATTTTGGTTTATAAAATAATAACTGAATAGTTCAAAAAAACCGAATAACAATTTATTATTTATTTAATATATCTATAATTATTTATTAATTTTATAATTTATTTTTTTCAAATAGGTTCAAAAAGTACCGTCTAATAAAAAACATAAATATGTATTTTCTCTCAATAGTTTTTTTTTTTTTTTTTTTTTTTTTTTTTATCTATAGTATATTAAATTATAATATTACTTCTTAGTAGCTGTTTATAAATTTCAAATCAAAACTAAATAATTTGTTTTTGTTTCTTCTATAAAATGTTCCGGTTTTTGAAAACCTAATTTTAAAGTTCGATCCAGCCGAAATTTAATTGGATCGAATCAGATCAAATTTGAATTTGATTTGGACTATTTGGATCTATGTTTTGAAAACCAAAATTATTTTGGGTCGACTTGATTGGATTGGTTCAAATCGATCCATCCAAACGAAGATTCATACAAAAAAACCATCATACTCAATGGGAAACCCGAAACCTACACCCGGTTTGACCGGGAAATCCCCAAATTGACCGGGGATAAGTATGGGGGTAGTCCCCGTTCCTCGACAATGCCCCGGTAGATATTAATATATAAAAACCATACAAAATATACATTTATTGTAAAATATATAATACCTAAAATTTAAACAAAGTCACCTTAAAAACCTGATAGTAGTATCCTCTTAAATCTACCACACGAAATATCATTTAATTCAAACAATTATAATACTATTTTAATAGTTTATATATTTTTTTTATTTAATGAAATATTTTGATTATGTTAAATATTATATTAAACTTATTTTTATTATTATTTGTATTATACCATAATAAAAAAGGAACGAAATATGAAAGAGGTATAAAATATCGAGTGAGAATTAAATGACGACTGCATGACATACAAATGTTGAAAGTTCAAAGATATATAACACCTATCTTACTAGCTAGAAGGCTTCCGTACTTCCATTCCCCAGATATCGGATGACTTTTCAAATTAGTGGTTAGATTTCTTTGCAAACAGTCTTTTATTCTAAAAACTTTGAAACGGAACACAGACGGAGGTTTTGTGCGATGGCATCACGGTTGTGGTTGTGCTTCTTCTTCGGCTTGATGATCACCGACGCCCTAACTCGAGCTCAAAACACCACCGATCCAGCTGAAGGTACTCTCTCTCTCTCTCTCTCTCTCTCTCTCTCTCTCTCTGTGCTTACGTTTTCATCCGTTCAGTACTTCAGTTATCTTATGATCTCCGATTATGCACAGCTGCCATAGCTTTCTGCTCAGTGTGTGTTTGTGTGTGTTTTGTAGGAAGAGAACATCGTTCTCTCATTATTCAGATTTCGTTTTGAGTTTTATGTTCATTCGTATTAAAAGAACTTACTCAGTAGATTACCTAACAAATCCAGCTTTTATCAAAACTTTCGAATGGGAAATTGATTACTTTTAGTATTATCTTTTTTCGAACCTTATAGGCAAATATATAAATTTGATCAATTTAATTAGTTTGTATTATCTTTATGAATACATAAGTCTGAGTTATGTTTTATTTTTATTTGGTCGAGTAAATCTTTAATAAAATAGTTTAGACGAAAAGTGTGAAATTTGTTAATACGTAGTTATATACAAAATTGTGATAACGTGGTATTATTATTTGCATTTAACAAATTAATTATTTTCAAAAATTAAAAATAAATAGAAAATATGTGTACACCAACCTAACCAGGCCATATTATTTGACCAATTATAATGTAGAAAACTTTTGTACGAATTCTAGAATCGACTAAAACAAACAAATTGACTTGTGAGATCCGTCAAATATGTACCAAGTGTAATGTCGCAACTGCATTCTTGAACGCTTTGTATGATAGTTCTTTCTAGATTAAATGACCAGAAACACTATATAAAGTTAGTTGTTTGTCTTTTTTAATCCAAAATGTTTGTAGTCTGCGTACTTCAAGTCTTTGCAGCAGAAGAGGTGAATCAAACATCTGCAGTCTGCAATAAGGAATATGTTTGTTTTTTAACGTCTACATACTATTAAAATAAATTGAATTTTAAGTCAACTGATTTTACAAACTTAAAATGGTTTTTCAACACCAAAAATTTTGTTTTTAAATCATTATTAAAACCATAATATCATCGTCATAGTATAAAATGATAAATCATGTGTCTCAAAATATCATAATATCTGTCAACATATTCAAATCTCATATCAAATATCAGAGTAAATCTCTCAGGCAAA